TTTAGCTAGGCCCCAGGCCCTCCCCGTGCCTCAGTTTCCCCCGCGGGGAGCCAGGCCCCGCCCGCGGCCTCCTCCGCCCCCGCCCCCTCAGGTTTCTCCTCAGGACCCTGCGGCGGGGCAGGATTTCGGTAAACACCCACCCACCCACAGCCCAAAGCCTCCAGCGAGAAAGAAGCCAGGGCCCCCCGCCCCCCGCCCCCCGCCCCACCCCCACCCCTCCCCGCGAAGAGGAGAGAGCGCGACCTGCCCCTCGCAGCCAGCGTCTTCTGGCGCTCTTCCCGCCCACCGGCGGCTCATGAATAATGCATGAGTAGCAGCCCGCTTATTGGGCGCGGGCCCGCGGTGCTCCCCGCCCTGCTCCTGCCGGATTGGCCGAGCGCCTGCTCGGCGGCTGGCCGCCACCTCATGAATATGTAAATAGGAAACTCCCGACCCCACCCTCCCTAGAGACCGAGGCTGGGGCTGACGGTTATTAACGGCTCTCGCGTCTCGCGCACCGTCCAGTAAAGGCTTCTTCCTGCGCGTGCGCGGGCGCCCTTGAAGGTGGGGGGAAGTGCCAGGACGAGGCTCCTCCCACTCCACCCAGCAGTCAGTGATCTAGGTTGGAATCCCAGCTCTGCCACGTACTGCAGCGTGTGCACTCTGGGCTGCACAGTTGTGTGAAACTGGACTAGATGACCTCTTTTTGGTATGTCCAGCACTTAGCACATAGTAGGCGCTTAAGAAATGTTGACTAGGAGGCAGCTACGTGGCCCGGTTCATAGAGCGCCCGCCCCGGACCCAAGAGGACCTGAGTTCAAATCCAGCCTCGGACCAAACACTTGACACTAATTAGCTGTGTGATCCTGGGCAAGTCACTTAATCCCAATTGCCTAAAAACTAAAAAAAAAAAATAGTGTACTAGTAGCAGCTAGGTGGCACAGTGGATAGTGCACCGGCCCTGGACTCAGGAGGACCTGAGTTCAAATCTAACCTCATACACGTAACACTCACTAGCTGTGTGACTCTGGGCAAGTCACTTAACCCCAATCTCCTCAAAAAATAAAAAAAAAAGAATTGTTGACTGATTGATTGATTGATAGATGGCCCTCTGAGGTCCCTTCCAGTTCTAAGTCAATGAGCGCTCCCTGTCTGCAGCCCCCCTCCTCAGGAAACTTTTGGGGGCTGGGTGTGGAGCCGGAGAACCCAGGTTGCTAGCTTGTTTCTGAAGCTGAAAGTCCTAGGGGGGCCCGCTCCCAGTGTATCCTCTCTGTATCTGGTTTGTACAGAATTATTTGTTTCCCCGTTAGACCGTAAGCTCTTCGAGGGCAGGGGCTGCCTTTTGCCTTGCTTTGTATCCCCAGGGCTTAGCACAGCGCCTGGCACACAGCGGGCACTTTTTACATGTTAGCTATTATCATTGTTGTTTGCCTGCTGTCTTCCCCATTGGACTGAAAGAGAAGGGGGCAGCAGGGACTGCCTTTTGCTTATCTTTATATCCCCAGGGCTAGCACAGCTCCTGGCACACAGTAGGGGCTTAATAAATGTTTGCTCACTTGACCCCCTGTGGGGTGGGGGGCAAACGTTTAATTTCCCTGGGCCTCAGTTTCCTCCTCTGGAAAAGAAGGCAGTTGGCGCTATAAAGAGCTCAGACTGACTGGACCGTGCTCTCTGTTCCTCTCCCCGTAGCTCGCCATTCCTTCTAGCTCCTCGAGCCCCTGAGTCAGGGAGGGCACCGACGGGAGAGAGGGATTAGGGAGGCAGGAGGGAGAAGGAAAAGGATGGACCATGCAAAGGAAGAGAGGAGAAGGACAGAGGCGAGGAGAGGGTCACAGATTTAAAGCTGGAAAGGGCCAGCCTTTTCATTTTACAGATAAGGAGACTGAGGCCCAGAGGGATGAGGTCGTGCAGCCAGCGCTCTACCCTCGGACAGAAAAGGGGGAGGGTGGGAACAAGGGGAAGGAAGAGGAGAGCCCGAGGGGAGGGACTGGGGAGGGACTGGGGAGGGAATGGGGAGGGACTGGGGAGGGCCCCGAGGTCCAGAGAGCTCTCTGAACCAGGAAGCCTGGGACAAGCGAGCTGCTGTCTGGAGCTCCAGGTCAACCCAGTGGCCCTCGGCAGGGAATCCATGCTGTTCAGGCAGGCCCAGCGCCCGCTGGGCTGGGGGCTCCAGCGATCCCAGGCCTGGGGGTCCCGGAGAAACATCCAGCAGAGGAGCTCGCCCCAGCAGGCTGACATTCCCTTTGCCAGAGCCCGCATTGGCACGTTCTTCCAGGGGCAGCCCCGCCTCGGTAACCAGTACCTGGAGGACGCTTTGCTGAGGGGCTATCTGAAGAGGCAGCTGCCCACCCAGGTGTGTGTATACCTAAGCAGGGTGGCAATCACTGAGCAGAGCAGCCCTCGCCACGGTGGGAGGGGGGCGCCCTGTGGGAAGCCGGCCCCTGCAGAGGAGAGGCTGCGAGGGAAAGAGGCCACGGATGCCCATCTCCAGGCCCGTGCAGTGGGACGGGAGGGGACGCGGGCTCCTGGTCTAGCAGAGGAAGGGCATCTTGGCAGGGTGAGGATGTAGGAGATGAGCGGGCGGGGATCAGAGCCTGGGAGCAGCCCAGGGCCTGTCTCGCTACTGCTGCATGGCACCCTGCTCCCTCACTGTGCCCTGGCACCCCGGCCTCTGCCGGGCAGGGAGGCCGGGAAGGAGTCAAGTCCAAGGCAGCCGATAATCCAGGGTTCAAAAATGAAATTATTGGATAAAACACCAATTCAGAACGGACAATGGTAGCGAGTACACGTAGTACACAGTAAGCACTCAATAAATGCTTGCTGATTGACCAACAAGAAGTCGGAGGATGGAGAATCACAGCATCAGTGAGATCACAGACCCAGGGGTGTAGGCAGCCTCCTGTATGCAGCTGGATCTTGGGAAGCCTTCAAGGCCCTCCTGTAATGCCTGGGCTAGTCACTGGAGGGCAGGCAAGTCAAAGAATGTTTATTAAGCACCTACTACGTACTCAGGGCCCTGTGCTAAGCTCTAGAAGCACAAATAAAAACAAAGACAGCCCCTGCCCTCAAAATGCTTACAATCTAATGGGGGGAGACAAGGCACAGGAGGAAGCTGGAAGGGAGTCGGGGGTGGGGGGAGAAGAGAAGGGGATGGGATGGAAGAGCCAGTGCTGAGCCCACTCCTCCCTGGGCCCACGGCCCTGCCCACAGCCAGAGGGGCAGAGGAGGGGTTGGAGAAGGGAAGACCAGGCAGGCTGGCTGCACAGGGAGATTTCCCAGGGGTGAGTTTCCTGGGGAAGGAAGGTACTCTGGAGAGTCCAAAGAAGGCCAGCAGTGGGGTGACCGGTGGAAAATGGGGGGAACCCGTAGTAAGCAGGGCTCCCCTTAATAAATGCTCACTTTTTGTCCCTGTCTCTGTCTCTCCAACTATCTTTCTCTCCGTCTCTTCATCTATCTCTCCATACATCTCTCTCTCCATATATCCACCTCTCTCCCTCTCTCTCTATCTGTATATCTCTATATTTCTATCTATCTCCATCTACCTCCCTGTCTGCAGCCCTTCCTGAACATCCATCTATCTCACTATCTCTCTATCTCTCCATCTATCTCTCTATCCATCTACCTATCTATACATACATCCACTTCTCTATCTTTTTCTATTCATCTATCCATCTATCTCTCTATCTATTGATCCTTCCATTAATCTATCTTTCCATCTATCTATCTTTTAATCCTTTATTTCCTTTATCTCTCTATCCATCTATCATGCATCCATTTCTCTATCTCTCTTTCCATCCATCCATCCATCCATCCATCCATCTGTCCATCTCTAGCCCAGGCCCCCAGGCAGTTGTCTATATTACCTGTCTATTGGTTCCCCCACAGATGAAATCACATGTGATCATACTGAGTATAAAGTGTCACAATTCTGTGAAATTCCACAATAGTTCAGTGGTATACTATTACACATACACATAGGTGATGCGTATATGCCATTCCTCATCCACCACGTAGAGGGCACCATAGAGTGGCCTGAGCCCCTGGGAGGTTATGTAACTTCCCCAGGGTCATCTAGCCAGCATGTGCTCGCTGCTGCTAATGTTGTTACCCTAATTATGTGATTCATATTTGTGGAATGAAGGCGCCCCTGCCCCTTCCCGCCAGCCCAGTGTTCTGTCCATTGGATGGCCTTGGCTCAGTGAGTATCAGTTGAGCCAGCTCTGAATGTCAGTGGGATCTGTCTCAACACCGTAAGTGTTTAGCTCACTAATGAGATGTTTAGTCCTATGCTGCCAGTTTCATCCCTCAAGAAATGATGATTATCGAGTGGTCTCCGAATACGAGTTGTTTATCCTTGCCAGATTCCATTAGTGAGGCACAGTTGTCAGGTTTTCATCTGTATCACCCTCCACAAGGCCCAGGGAGTTGTGTGCTTTTAAGAGCCAAAGAGGAGTGTGACGGTACACAGGTGTCTGAAAGTCATGATCCCATGTTGGATGGTGGGAGAACCACTAAATACTTGTCCTGGGAGGGACGACTGTGAATCGGGTCAGGACTCCCAAAGCTAGCATCATCTGAGGGCCGGTGCCCAGATGCAGGGCTGAGGCCCGGCCACTGCTTGTGTGGAGTGATGAAAAATCAGTCTGATAGGTGTGTGTCTTTCTAATAAGGTTCCTTCTAGGTCAGGCTGACCTGGTTTGGTTCTGAAATAATGGAAGCCTTCACATCCTATAATCGTTGTGCTGCCTGCCGCCCAGCCCAGGCCCTGCTGATGTTAAAATCCAAGGCTCAGGGCCCCGTTTTTCCAATCAAAGGTGTTCCCAGAAGCATTATTCCTCTGTGCCTCTGATTAAAGCCAGCCCAAGGAATTAGGGCTTAATCAGCTTCGTTGTTCATTTTCATACTCAGAAGCTTCTCTCCCCACAAGCAAAACCAAACAAAAAACTGTTCGAGGATCGAGTTGGTTTGGCTGAAGCAGTTTTCAAATAACAAGACTCTGGAAACCTATTTGGTAACCTTTCATTCCACTAAGGCACAGCAGAAAGGTCATTGCCTCTGGAGCCAGGGATCGAGGTTCAAATCCCACATCCGATGCCTTCTGGGCAACGTGCTTAACTTCCCTGGGCCTCCATTTCCTCATCTGTAAAATGGGAGTCAGCCGAGGTGGCCTCGGAGGTACCTTCCAGCTAGAACTAGGATTGGTTGGCCCTGAAAAAACATTGGGCTGGGATACTTGGGCACCTCCACGCGGGCATTCGGCCCACCAGCGCAGATTACCATCCGTCGGTGCGTTTTGGTCCCGTGTGATTCTTGCCCCAGGTCTCCCATGAATCCTCCTTAGAAAACCACACGACACCCCCGATGCCTTCCTTCAGGCCCCAGCGTAGCACGCAGGCAGTTGATTGATGATACCTCACTACCACTCTGTGGTTGTATGGCCTCCTCTCCCAATCAACCATACATTTATTGAGTATCTATTATGTGCGGGCTCAGAAGAAAGCCTTGGAGGTAAAGCTTTTATGTCACTTCTCATGAACCAGCCAACACAGTTCACATGCTGAAGCCTTATGCAACCATGCCCTTTGGGTCACCCATAATTGCAATTCTTCTGGGGGACATAGGGAATAGAGTTGGAATCAAGAAGACCGGAGTTCAGATCCCATCTCTGACTCTAATTGCTATATGGACAAGTCACATAACATCTTGAGACTCAGTTTCCTCATCTGTAAAATGGGGGTAGTAATACCCACAGGGCTGTTGTGAGGTTAAAATGAGACAATAGAGGCAAAGTGCTTTTGTAGACTTTAAAGCCCTCCATGAGTCTCAGTTATTGTTACTGCGGCTTTCCACGATTTGTAGTTGTAATCAAAACTGGATCTTTTAAAAACACCATTCCCTCAGATCCTGCATTTCTTGGACAACATCCTTTACCCCACTCCATAAATCCCGATTTGCAATGCGCCGCAGCCAGCTCACGCCCACCCACCGTGTGTCTCTCTCCATTGCCCTCTGGGTGATCCTCACCTCCCCGTCTTTGGAGACTGCAGCACTCCATGACTCATAGCTATGCAAAGCCAGAAGAATATCGGCTTTAAAGAGCAAGGCCTTTGTTTCTGGAAGAAGTTTGAGGTCATTAAAAGAACTTCGAAGTTCCCCAAGGCAATCCATCCTGTTGTTCTTTTCCTCTAAAGGCAGGATTTTTAAAAAGCAGAGGAAGGGTGAGAGAGGGGCAAGAGTGAGGAATAACCATTGGACAGCCCATGGGCACCACTGGTAGCTTTGTGATTTGAGGAGTCCTTGAGAAAGGATCCCCAGTACATTGGGGCAACACAGATGGGCTAAGAGTCATACAGGAAGGGCTAGCGGGGTCTGTATCAGTGGGAGAAACACCCACATGGGGAAATCACTGCCCACCCCTGCCACAGCAGGATACATCTTCCTGCTGGATACCCAATGGTGAATTAAGACCTGCAATATAAATTGGAAATTCTGTAAAGAGGCAGGAGGAAAAAAGAGCTCCCAAGGCCCTGTTGACAGAAACATAGCAGGTCCCTCACCCCCGGACAGATGATGAGTTGGGAGCTGACCTTCTCTTCTTTGGCCCACTTCAGGGCTCGTTGGGTTTATCTTTCATCAGTGTCCTTCAGGATACTGTTGCCCGGTTAAGAAGAGAGCTCCAGGGCCCCTTCGATAGAGTGATGATGCCCTGGTCCCATTTCCTTGAAAACCCAATTGGCTCAGGTGATATCCAGCATCCTATTGTCGGCTGACGTTTCTTGCTCAGAAAGGTGGTTTCCTCTCCTTTCTCTTCTTTAGCTTCCAGATCCTAGACTCCTCTTGTTCAGCAACCCCATGACTGTGGGGGCTCTGAGCTAGGAGGTCTTCCACATTAGCTTGTTACCCATGCCTGGGATGCTCTACTCCCCATCTTTGACTTTTAGAATTTTTAACTTTTGAAAGAAGAAAGGTCTTAAGACCCAGCTCAAATACCACCTTCACACGGCGACCTCTTCTCCCCCTGCGCAAGTCCATCTCTGTGCTATGTTGTCTCCTCCATTAGGATATGAGTCCCTTCAAGGTAGGGATTGTGTTTACCTTTCTTAGCGTTCCAAGCAGTTTAGACAATGCCTGGCATGTAGCAAGGCTTTGATAAATACTTGTTGATTAATTGATATTGTGGAGGGGCCAGAGATGAAACCCCACCATAAACTCACATAACAGTGATTTTTTTGCAACTGAATTTAGGAGGGGATTGTCCTCTCGTTTCCCTTTTTTGTTGTACTCATAAGCATTCAAGGCTGGTCTGTAGGGCAGGCTCCTTGGTATAAAGAGTTCCCACATGCATGAGCCTTT